AATCCTTCTATTCACGATGAAACGGTCCACGTAACGAGACATAGGCGTCGCATCCTTTTCGCAAAAAGGACATTGGGGGTTGTTTCGCGGCGGCGCCTATGACTAGACCGATGTCGAAGACCCATCGTTGCAAAGTGAGCGATATGTACGACCTGTATTCGGAGAATTATCGTTCGATACTTCGAGCCGACTTGACCGCCCATCTGGTAATATCACACGGGAGATTAGCGTTATGGCGAGATAACGATTATTATTCGTGTCGCGAGATAGATATATTGCGAGAGAGCAATTGCAAGAAACGACAACTGTTACCTGCTTTTTTTGCGAGTCGGTTCGAAGGGGTAGTTGCGGCTTCTAAAACTGCTTTTGGGAAACCCGAATAGAGCACTTAGCAGCCCTGCGCTATATAATGTTTTGAGCACAGGTTTACGAAAAGGCACGCGTCTTATCGAATCAGGTCGACTGAAATCGCATGGAGGACGATTTTTGCAGAAAACGATCTCTTATTTATTTTACTTTTTTTTTCTTCAAAAAATGAATATCAAAATTATCGTCATTGAATCGAAATATGAAATTACCATTTTGTCAATAAAGCATAGTAGATTATATCTAAAATTGCAACATTCCATCAACACGGTCCGAGATTAAATTTTCAAGTCTTTTTTTAATCCCGAAAATTAATGGATACATCTTCATTTGTAAGAGACGAGTGTTGCATTAAGATTAATGTAGGAGATGATGAGGAATCTCATAATCTCGTAAATGTACGACGGGTCTTCGCATGCTGAAAACTCGGTGCCAGGCTCGACTGCGTTTTGATAAATGTTAGCTCGGTAGACAACTGTCGCAACGGCGCGCACTCTCGGTCCATCGAAAATAACATCGGATCGCGTTACAGATGATCATTACACAGACATATGGATCATCTCACTCTCTCTCTCTCTCTCCTCCGTTTATAGAATCGGCGCGAATCTTAATCGCGCATATTATTATTCTTATGCGCGCAGGTAAATTCTCTCTCCGCAACGTTTTGCAAACCGCATATTTTTTATACTCTTCAACGACGGGATGTGAAAAGAAAATATTTGTTGGAATATCAAATGATTCGTCATTTAACTCCGCGCATATCCGTGAATATTTCGAATCGGACGATATCATGTGACATGTGTGTAATTAGAATTATCAAAATTGGCGTAAGCTTGAAAGCCCGCTGAAATAACACCGTTATTTCATATCACTTTTCATATCGCGCTCTTTGATATCGGAGGTACGTTAATCTACTTTGTACATTTATTTTCATTGAACGCGAAATATTCCACTCTTCTCTCTGAAAAGTATATTGTCGAATTATTATTATTATTGTTATTAAATATTGTTATTACGAATATTATTATTAATTGTTGTTACTATTATTATTATTACATGAACCGCTATTACGGGCGTTTATGTAGATGTGTTACACATCTGTGTCATGAATTCTCCAATTCTCGCTATATTTCGAGCAATTTCGACGCCGTTGCGACAAGTTACGTGTGCGTAACCGTGCGCTGACACATAAATGTATAGAGAGCAAAAAAAGGCTTGATCTGTTGTACAAGTTTGTAGTTGACGTCATTGTATGTGCCGCATCCTCTCGTTTGTTAAGCGCAGGAGGTCGTTGTTTCAGGATCTGTGTCCGACGATCGATGATGAACGCGGTTCGATCGAAGAGAACGAGCGAGAATTTCTCTCGTCAGTTATTTTTTTTTCTTTTTCTCTCTCTATTTTTTTTTTATACGTCAGAAGCGATAACGACGCAAATCCTCGAGTGTCGCGAATATATGTAATTTTCTCCAAATTACTAGTCGTATTTCGGATCATCCGCTGCGGGATTCGACGATCCGCGAAATTGTGCTCTTCGCTTCGAAAGGCCGAGCGCCTAATATTTGACATGCTCGACTTTATCGATTTTCCGGGGACAGGCATTTTCGACCCAAATCGTCCCCGCTTTAGCCATGACGAGCAAAGACGTAGAAAGTCGTTTTCCCCGTCGCGTTGATTGCCTCGCGCTCCATTCCTCGGATTTATATGTATGTATATATATATACATAGTAACATTTCGTATAATAAACTCTCTCCTCGGCGAAAATAATCTCCTTACGAGAAAATTACGGTTTAAGCTCGATACTCTGGTTCTCCAGTTCGCGCGACGTCTCTCGTTCCATATATAACATGTAATACATAGGTAAAATCTCATAATTGCGAGGGATGAAAACCTCTCGCTCTCTCCAACTGCGAAATTTCGGATTACGCGAGATTGAAACGCACTTGTGCGATATATCATCGAATAATTGCCGATAAATCGAGCCTCGCTATCTAATTCCGCAATAATATCTCGGTTAATTATGGAAAGTGTGTACGCGATGTCGTTTAATTGACCCGCGATGCGTAACGATCTTTACCGAGTACTAATATAGTTTGACGATTATTCGAGGAATCGATCGATCGATCTATCAGTGGGGAACATGACGCGTGCCAAATCCGAATCTCGAGAGCCGATAATCTTTGTGTTCCCTCGTGACATCCATCGATATTTCCGAAAACAAACTGGTCAGAAAGATTCGCGACGGGAAAGTTTGCGATTTCGCTTGTGTCCCCTCTGCGAAACTGACAAATCGCGCGATACGTTATCGTGACAGCGGTCTAAGGATCGCAGATCTGGGCCGTAAATCATTAGGAAGCCGGAATTGGACGTGTTTCGTCGAACGCGAAACGCGATATTTTTTTCTCCAACACGTTCGGCATTTAATTCGAAAATACCGAATGCTAGACGAAACGAGATGGAATTTACGCATCTGGGGACGGAGAAAATACGAGCGCGATCGAAATAATAACGCGTAGACCTGCATATTACAATAGAAGTGTCGCATTATTTGTATTTTCCCCATTCGAGCTCCGCCGCAGCTTTTGACGAATTTTTTTTATCGCGTTCCAAGAGTAACGAGTATGCTACTTTAGTGCTCTGACACATACACATAAGAAAAAAAGAAGTAGAAAAAGCAAATTCTATCTTCTTTGCACTTCTCTCTCGCTAACGGAAGATTTTAGTGATGCTGCGAACGAACGAATCTCTCCTCGTTCCCTCCCAAGGTACCGTGTACAATCGATCGAGCGATTGCTCGACCGTTGTGTCAATTAACGAACAAATATAGACGAACCGACAGCTTGGTGCGAAGGAGTTGCCGCGCCAAAATACCCATAAACTTTCGCCAAGTATCGTAAACTTTTTAACGCGAATTTCCAAACAGTTTTACCATTCAGCGTTCTTCCGTGTCGCTTTCAGCTTCTACTTGCTTCGAAGAGGAAATCGGGAAAACGTGCACGGAGAGAATTTTCTCTTACTTAGAATTTACCCGGAAAATCATAGTAAATGTCGATAAAAAATATTAACAATATGCATAATAAATTTTACTACACTGAAAAAAATATTTATTGAATTTGAATAAATATTTATTTCAATCCTGCCTAATAAATCATTTATTTGAAACTAAAATAATATTGATTTAATGTGAAAAATATTTATTTGTTTCACATAAATAATTGATTAGGCAGTATTGAAATAAATATTTTTTATTGATTTAATAATCTTTTTCAGTATAGTAAAATTAATCGAACACATTTCACATTTTATTGTGGCAGATATTAATATTTTTTTATTGCGATAAAAATATTAATCAGAGAAACTCTTATATAAAATTCTTCTATATTGTCCCATGATTTTCGGGGTAAATTCTAAGAGAAGCTTCTCTCTGTGTGGGTGGGCGACGGGATAAGCGACGGAAATATCGTAGGGATTAAAGTAAGATTGCCTGGTACAGCAACATCGGAGCCGCGTAAACTCGTGTTAATTTAACCGGGATCGTCGCGAGACGGATGAATTTTCGCGTTTGCAACTCCTTCGTGCCTGGCAATGAGCCTCTCGAAGTAGCAAGCGATTGCCAAAGTGGAAAAAGTGGTAAACGATAAGAGTTTGTATTATAGTGACCGATGGTGCGTACGTTTCTCGCCGCTTATTCAGCATGTGCATGCTTCTTTTTCTCTCGCATCTCGAATTTATTCTTGATATGTATGTCTAAATACACGTACACAAACACACACACATACACACACACATATTGTATAGTATGTTTTTGCGAGAAATTTACACGCTATACTTATACGCACGTTTTTTACGCAGTTGCTTTTAGTGCACGCGCGTTCGCAATCGTACGTATTCTTCGCGCTTGTTCTTGCGAGTGTTGATGAATTAACACGTTCTATTTTTTTTTTCCTATTGCGAAGAATGCGTACCCTCTCTTTGCGAACGCGACGAATGTCACGCGCATTTTTTTCTCTTTTTTATTACTCGCTTTACACGACTCCGCCCGTGAAGTGCGCGCAGACTTCTTGCCTGTAGTTTGGCATTGTTGTCTTGGCGTGGCCAGATGAGAATAACGAGTGATTATTAATAACGTAATAATAATGCCCCCGGTAAGCTCTCTCTCTCTCTCTCTCTGTAGTATGTACAACGTGTAGTGGTTAATAACGCGCGATCGCGAGAAGAAGAATCATCGCAAGTGATTTGCCAAACGCGGCGACGAAAGAAAAAAAAACGCCGCGAGGCAAATCGGTGACGAAGACGACGTGGTGAAACCGTATCGAGTCATCTTAATTAAAGCACATTGCAGTAAACAGATCGATTAACGTTGGCGTGAAAGTGTCTTTTAACATTCTCTTTTTTGTAGCGTACAATAGTTTCAATTTATGGTATAATTGTCGCTTTACTCTTTTATTTTTAATTTTTTTAACAATCAATTTTTTTAATAAGAATTAATTTATCATAAATTAGTAGTTGAGCCACAAAAGAATATCTTGTATACTGATATAGGTTTTCGCTACGTTGATCTACGTCACCGGATGATCTAGACGCTGATATTTCATTATCATGCGAATGCCATAAGATGTGTCTCTGGTATTTATAGGTGCAGCAGCTAATCTACGTAAAGAAGTCATCAGAAACAAGATTAGAGCCATCGGTAAAATGGCGCGTGTCTTCTCCGTCCTGAGGTTAGTGAATAATTTCCTTTAGTTATAAGTTATATGAAACAAAAATCAATTTTAATATGCAAGAGAACGCTGTTTCAATTAAAATAATATGCTCAATCTAGAATTTTAAAATTATAAAGACAGATTTTTTTGTATGAATGAAAAATCTGCTTGCAATCGCGATATTATCTATAATGAAGGTTCTCTTTATAATATATAATTATTATAATTAATATAAAAAAGAATATAATAAAGTCTTAGTATTATAATAAAATTTAAATTCTTGTATTTCACAGAGAGGAAAGCGAGAGCGTGCTGCAGTTGAAAGGTTTGACGCCGACTGGAGCTTTACCGCTTGGTGCATTATCTGGCGGCAAGACTTCTCTGAAAAACGGTAAGAAAGTTCTACGAGATATCGAGTTTTGATAACGCCATTCAGAAAAATCGTAATTTAGCTTCCAAATGTTAAGAGCGCGATGAGCTGTTCTTTCAAAGCAGCGTTCAAAAAAGGTGGAACCCAGAGAGTTCTTATCGTTATTCGCGGACAATGGATGGTGTCTTAGGATATTTGAGAGACTCTCAGTCATCTCTTCGATATATGTTCTACATTTTTTTTCTTATATCCAGCTCTCCAAGGCTTCTCGCCGAATCATAAAATCACCTCGTTCGCCGAGGCCAAGGGCTTGGACGCCATTAACGAAAGAATGCCACCGAGGAAGGACGCACCACCTACGCCGGTCAACGAGGAGAAACCCGTGACAAAGCCGCCGCCTCCTGCGGGAGACAAGCGGGACCACAACACGCCGCAACCGCAATCGTGAGCCCCACACTCGTCCAATCAAGGTACGCGTCCAACTCGTCCACAGACCTTCTAAATGCCGAGAGACAGAGGAAAAGCTCTCGCTTACGCCTCTGTTCTCTGGTCAATTTTACGAAGCTATTTAACGCTCGACATCATCCCTACGAAATATTGATTTTAATTATGTACCAGCTAAAAACTATTCTTTCCTAACAATTTTCGCTACGAGGAACTACTGCGTACGAAAACCTAACTAATTACGATATAAGTTGACCTACAAGAATCTAGATATGTTACCTTATGTTCGTATTGTGATATAATGTTGTGATATATTGAAGTACTATATAAGAAAAAAAATACGAATTTTGGAATAAAATAGCTTTTCAATCGATCTCTTGCCGTTGCGAAAATATGAAAGACAAGTATAAGCCTGATGTAAATTCATGAATGGGATTTTTTTCAGATGGCGTGGACGGGTCCTAAGATCCTGACGTTATCGCCGTTGCCATCGAACATTTGCAAACCATTGGTCGTCTCTCCCTTCCCTCCTCCGGTTGTTACAACCAGTGTGCTGTCCATCGAGGTGTCAAAAGAAGCCGGTCGCAAGAAGGAAGATCAGGAACGGAGCATTGTCATCGGTCCTGGTGCGCGCGCAGCGAAAGAAAGCAAGTCAGCCGAGTAAAAGGAAACCGCACGATCATCGGAAAACGTCCGACTGGGCGTTTCAGCGGGACTTCTCTTCTTCGAGGATCTGCCTCTGTTTTTTTTCCCCGTATACACTACATACGCGCGAATTAAAAAAAAAAGAAACGAGAATGTTAGCGATAATTCCTTCTGCAATGAACCGCGCGCGCATGACGTTCTCCAATCTCTTTCTCTCTCTTTCTCGATCGTTCATGCGATTATATCCCCTTGTTCTCTTTCCTCGTTCTCGCTTACTCTACCTTTCGCAATTTCTTGCTCTTTCTCTTTCCAACATCCACTAATTAATATTCATTATCCGCGTGTTCCTCACGGATAATTTACTCGATGTACATATGTGCGCGTCTGCACGAATCGACGAGGGGCGAAACCTTCGAACGATATATCTTATAGATAGATCCGTTTACGAATCGACCTCGGATCGAACGTTCATACACGAGAGAGTATATTCCCTTTCCTCTCCCGGGCGTCATTTCTCTCTTTCCTTTCTCCGAAGAACGCGGAAAAACGAGAAAGAGAGATGGAATCGGAACAGCCCGCGCGCGCGGTTACACATTTGTCTAATGAGAGATATCGTACAGTGTGAAAGAGAGAGAATGAGAGAGGGAGAGAACGATAAAGAGAGAGAGAGAAAGAGAACGAGGACGAGCGGTCTCCGCCAAAGAAACAAAAGAGGCAGCTGGCCTGTCGTCATGGCGGAGCTTCCGGTTTTAGGATTTTACTAGGTTCTTAAGATGTGTCCGCCCTGGATGACGCATCCCCGCGCTACGGGGTGGGGTTACTTAAATCTTAAGTCAAGCTAAGCTTAGGATTAAGTCATAAATTATATATATATATATATATATATATATATAAAACAATATACATATATATATAATATCGGGGAGACTTTATTTAATATATATAAATATTATAAATATTATACATATATATATATATATTATACATTATAATTAATTAATTATTATTAATTATTATCATCATTATTATTAATTATTCATTATGTAATCCGAATACCGTGTTTTTCGCTATCGTGTTTTGCGCGTGCACACGTTCGTCACGGTCGCGCGATATAATTAACGCGCGAAAGAAATGTACGTCGAGCGCGCGCATCGTTTCCAATTACACTCATTACGAGCATAATCTATCTTGGCCGTTCTGCCCCGAGGATCCATTCGAATTCATTCTCGTGCAATATGGAAGAAAATTGTATCTCGTTTTCGTTTTATCCCGATTTTCCGGAATTGCGCACGCCACGTATCTCGTATTGAAGGAACACGCAAGATAATCGTTATCTATTATATTAAGTTATATATCTCATGATGAATCGCGTTACATTGAATAACGATCATCGAATTTTTAGTTTGGTCTCAATAGTAATATCCCGATATCAATATCATCGTGTATTTTGTTAAACGCCATCGATTAGGATATCAAGAAGAATTTCTCGCGTATAATTAATTACATAACATATATAGTACATCGGATATATTGTCTTTGTTACATGTGATCTCTATGAACTTCCGTTTCGTTATATATATTTTGTGATATCATAGATGAGTGGATAAACTACGTATGTAAAAAAAAAAACGAGACACTTTTGGATATAGCGGTACGCTCTGACGAGACGCCAAGAATCTCTCGGAAGTGGCTCGAACGAGAAAAATCCATAACGCATGTTACATGTACATACGACACGTGTACGCTCGTTTAGACATGTGATGCATATCTCTTGCCCCAACTAGTCGTACAAGATTTGCTAGAACGAGCAAAGAGCTGCTGCGTAAATTGAAGTGATTTGCGGATATATATACGCCCGATAGAGAGCGATCGTAATACGCCACCTGAGCGTGAACTCGGCCAATAGGCGCGGAATTAAAATCCGATAGTAGGTCATAATGGTGCTGAAGAAAATTACGCGAGCTAGCACGAGTTGGAGAAAGAGGACCACGCGTTTTAAAGAAGCCAGCACTCTGCATCGCGCATGCAACACAATAAAAAAACAATCCGTTTATTCTATTATTTTGAACGTGTGCGCTGCGGCTGTCGTCGTGATTAAAAAAAAAAAGCCAGAAGTGGATCCTCGCCGACGACAGGTGACAGGACGGAACAGAACGGCCGTTCGTCATTTTTTTGCGAGTTACTTATTTCGGATACATAGAGACGATTCTACAAGAGGCTAGAATAATCGTTTCGTGTAAAAATAAAATTAAAAAAGAAATGCGATCGTCGAGACGCTTCCGCTTCGATCGTCCGCGCTGTCGCGCGCTCATCGCGCTCTCGCACGTGACGTCACGAAGGATATAATCAGAATCGAGGGCGGCTTACTCTCGTCTCTCGTGTAATATTTATATAGTAATAATAATCGCTCGCGCGATCGTGCCGCGAGATTTTATCGTCGTGTTTTCGCTGTTTTTTCTACCTCTTCTCTAGAAAATCGAGACGTTGCGACTTAGCGAGCTTTGCGCGGCTGAATTTATAGCGTCGACGAGCAGCGCGGAAGATCGTGAGCCTAATCATATCTCGGATATCGAAAAAGGGAGAAAAAGATAAGAGAGATTCGAGGCAGAGAAGCATCTCTCCGGAAGCCGAATGGCGGCACCGTCAGCATTACGGTCTGAGAAACATAATAAAGGTAATGAAAGAAAAATATTATAATAAATGAAATATAAGATATATATATATATATATATCTTCTCACTACGATATAAAATATACAGTGAATAATAATTCTATCTCTCTTTGCTACCAAGTTGTACTTATTCTTAATTAATTTACTTGTACAAAAGAATGTGTTAAATAATAATGAAATATATAATATAATATACACACGATTATAAATAATACATATTATATAATTATAAATATGAATATATATAAATATACATATATACATAAAAAGGAACACTACAATATATACAGGATGACTCGGAACTATCGTCACTCTTTTCACCCAAGGATCCCTTCTCGCAACTTTTCTTTGACGAAAATTTTCCTTCACTTTCGAATCGCTTAAGTAATTCGCAAAGCGTTAATGTCACAACAATACTTGTGTTTTACAACGAAAAAAAAGCGAATCTAAATCGACCAAAGATTTTCTGGATGAGGAGTCTCGATAATTCCGGGATACCCTGTATACAGACGTGTATACATATACATTATAATGTTGATTATCTGATATTAACGAACATCACGTTATTATTACGATAATTATTATTCATTTAATTATAATATTATTGCCATCATCATTACCGTCGCCGTTGCAATCATCCTACCTACTATCGTTATTACTTACTATCGTTATTACGGCTATCACGAAACACGAAGAGCGCGATTCATCTCAAAATGGAATGGCACGCGGGTCAAATTAATAATAATATATAAGCGCATACATGGAATATGCGTTCATACTCACAATTCTAATTGTCGCTTGAGCTACGATACGACGAGGGTGACACGATGATGATGATACCGAACGCGATTCACAAGTCGCTCCCGTCTATCTTTGGTTGTAGAAGCGATCTATCCTACGAAGATATATTTAACGAGGAAAATAACTACGCGGAGAATATATATAGATTTAAAAAGACTTCCCTTTTGCATGCATGAAACTTTCACGGACCATCCATTTTTCGAATAACAGTCTTGTGCCTTGTTTAGATATTTCCAATCGTTTTCAATCGATTCACGCTTCGATTCGCACTCTACTATACTCGAATAAACGCACCTTCGACATTGCATTTTCTTTATACGAAAAAAATATTTAATCCAATTCGATTAGTCTGTGTGATTCACACGTCACGTTCCCACACACTCATCTCGTACTTTCTTTCTTTCGAAGAAAAGGTCTTCCTCTGTTAATAATATTGTAGCGCAACGAGGAAACTTTTCGCGCTTTTCCTCTGTAACATAACAGAATCTCGTAGTTGCTGCGATCAAAACGAATTATTTTATATATTGGGAGATGTGACTCTATATCATTTAAAAATCTCTCGGTTCGATTATTTATTCCTGCACAGAACGACCTGACAGCATGCGATCATATCATCGATACGCATACGGAGACATCCCGTTTCATTCATTTGATAATACAGCGTCGTGACGAATATAAATGCGTGTCGTATCTTTCGTAGACGTGCAAATAATACACGCCACAGTATTGCCATAATGTATGTGGAACGCGAGTTTCGGGTCTTACACATATGTACGCGAGAAAAATAGATACGCAATACTACTTAATATGTGCGAGATATGTATATACAGTGTTTTTACGATGACAAATTACACTTGCAAATTTGTTGTGTGATTTCGAGTCAATTCTCTTTCGACAGCAATATATTATGTCAAAGTAACTGAAAACTGACACGTTTTTTTCTCAAGTGGATCTTATTTTAACGGGGGGTTGAAAAAAGTAAGATTTCAAATTATTTATAAATAGTATGAAAAATGGAAGAAATCAATATTTTTTTACCTAGAAAAAAATATGACTTTAAATTCCTCAAAGATATAAAGTAGGATACGCAGAGCTTGTATTTCTATATATTTCTCGCGTACAATCTCATTTCTGCACACGCGACACACCTATGTATAAGTAAATCGTTCGAGCGACACGTCTCATTACTGATAGAGTTCATTAGTATTAATAGAATCGCTTAATTTTGCTCGAAAACGTTTTTCAGGGGAGAAGCTTGCACCTTCGTACAGCAAGATGCGCTATTTTTCTTTTCCACTTTATTTTTCTTTCTTAAGCCAAGCGAAATGATTAAAGTGCTGTGTGTGATTCTTCTGTGACTACGTTGCGTTCTATACGCGAACTCGCGATGGTGCACTTTCATTATGTATCTATGGTCTCTCTTGAGTAACCAGGTGTTCTGAGGTGTGTGATAAGCAAAGATCTTGCCGAGATTCGAGCTTACGACGAGATAATTTTCACAGAAATTATACAAGTTCGAAGGTATATCTATATTCTATCTTAATTTTTATAATTGTATATATCTAGATAAAATGAAGAATTTGTAATAATTGTTCATACTGTAAATGCAAAGCAGCAGGATTTATATTATGCAATTTGCATTTTTCGCGTCAAATCTCGCTGTTATCTTATCACACGCCTTAACGTGAAAACGTTCTTGCTATTTGCCGAAACTACGTGCTTCTTCTACATTCTTCTTCTCTTTCCCCCAAGATCTCATTTTCTTCCCCCTTTTCCTCTTTCATCAGCGAGATACCGCGAGAAGAGAGGAAAGAATTTTCAAAGAAACTCTCCTCTCTCGAGTCGCATCGAACGCAACTAATCGAGTTCAATTGACCGAGAAACAATTTTATGTACCTGTTACGACTGATTATTATCGTGTACTAATCGCTAATAAGGGCAGTGAGAGAATACAGTGTATATGTATGTGTACATACACATGCCTGTTGTGCGTATGTATATATATATCTATATAGTATATTATATCGTACTGTTACGATTGTTTTGTAACTATCGTTAAATGTCATTGGCTGCTTGTTACTGACGGCTTGCGATCTGCGGCTAGCTAAATCGCTGAACCGTATGTACATATCGTGGTTTTAAGGGCTAACTAAGTGAAGAGAAGCGTATGTACGGAGAGGTCAGTTGCACCACTAGAGTTGGCTACCTCGGATTAGCGATTTTTTAAACACTCGCTTCCCAGACAGCAACATATTTCAAATTGGGTCATCAGACGTCTTTAATAGGTCTTAAAGACGTCTTAAAGGTGTCTCATGACCCGATTCTGAACATGTTTCTATTTTTATGCTGTCCGAGTGCTTTCGTTTGCTACGATTAGGTACACGCAGAAGAACGAGACTCGATCTTCGAGACAAGAATAATTGTCGTCGTTGGAGCAGTGATATCCCGATCGAGCGAGCAATAAAATTAACATAGACGACAAATTTCTTTTTAATACGCTAACTAACTTTGGTACAACGGGCCTGCATCGTACGAACGCGTCGTGGGCCCAATTGTTTAAGGCGTGCAACGTTCGTCTGCATATCACTTGCACGATTGTTTTTGCAATGACGCGCGAAAGAGATAGATTACCTTAAATGCTCTCTTTTAAAACGAACGACTGAAAAAGAAAAAAAAAAGAAAACCCATTGTCCCAGGAAATGAAGAGAAAAGGGTCGGTCTTGTAGGTACATTAACGTCGCCGTTAACGTATTTCTTATTCGAGAGATCCCTTATATTTCGAGATTGTTTGCGGCCACATGCTTCGATCGAACATATAGAAAATACCTTTCACCTTTGTATAATTCCAATTTGTTGATATACTTTCTCGCGGCGAAGTATGCAAGCACACGGCGTGGTCACACACATTTCCCTATTTAATAATTGTACCTGTATAGTGTGTCGTTTAATTAGATCTATTTTCTACGCTCTGCCAGCATCGTGTGTTTGGCGTTTTTAACATAATAAATAAATAATTCCCCAATTGCGCGCGCGACACGCGCGAAATGTGCCGCCCAGAATTAATGAACGGGCCGCAATTAAGAAGAGAAGAAAATACATCGGAGATTGCGATTTTAACTACTTTTACAAACCAAAAAAGAAAAAAAAGATTTGTAGTCCTAGACTCTGTTTCTCTCGTTCCTTTCACGCGAGCATCGCCCGGTGGATGTGATGTATCCTCCCGAGAACAAAAATAGTATAAAATACAGAAAATATAATGGATCAAAATGGTCCATTTCTCCCCTTCTTCCCTTTCCAAGTGACGAAAATTAAATTTGACGAAAGAAAATTAAATTTGTCGCGGTTAAGTCGATATTAAATAATTATATAACTCTGATTAAAATGACATGAAAACGATATTTAGAATAAAAACATTTCTTGATAAAAGATCGATTTTTTTATTCACCGTTTCATAACATAGGGGAAGTTTTTTTAATAAATGTGTTCCTTGGTAAGTACCAAAATTAATTATATTCGCAGCATTTCTACGAAACGCGGTCGAGAAATTTAGATATTGCAGACTTTGTTTTCTAAAAAAAGGTGCGTTTTTTCATACACGCGGGAGAGAAAAGTTATTCGCCACAGATATTAAAAAAAAAAAAAAATGAAAAGAGAAGGGAATGTGAATATCCTTGGAGCACATCCATCGGGCGAAATCGGCACCATATGCGAGAGCCATATAATCGGGCTTATTTACTCTGATATACTCGCGGCATTCAAAAAGAATGGCATTCAACGATAAAGAAAAAGAACTGTACATATATATACGTGCGTTTACTATTATCTACTTATTATTACGAGACTTACTCCTAAGATCTTTGGCTAAAATACTTTATAGAAGTGAGAACTCTCTCTGATTGCGAGGAGAAACGACAAAATAAGCGAGATCGCATACACATTGTTTAGCGCCATTGTGACTCTATCCCTTTCTTAAGAGAATAAGAGCATATACATATACATATATATATATATAGATATATATATATATATATTATATTTGTTTATATATACATATACATGACACGTATATAGACGCATCGGTACTATTATTATTATCATTATTATGATTAACGTTACACAATTCTTATCATTATTGATATCGTCTTCACTATTATAATTATCATTGTCGTGTGGAGAGGATACCCAAATGAGTAATTATTATATAAATAAATAAAAGAGAAAATCTTACTTATACATAATTATAAATACGTCATGAGAGACGATATATTCATAACGATTAATTATTACGGTAACACATAATGACATTATTATTACTATTATAAATAACACCCTATTCCCATCTGTTGTGAATGTTTACGTTGTTTTATGATATTTAGAATATTCTAAAAATAAAGTCTATAATTTCCACGAAAACTCGTATCACGTGTGTGTGTTGTTCCTCTCTTCAAACACTCGTTGAGTATTTTTCACAAAAATGTTACGAAATATTAAAATATTATAATTATGATATTGTAATTATTTGCCATTATGGGAAATAATATTATTAAAATAAAATTTTATTATGGAAATAACTCTACATCGTTATTTACAGAAATAAATCGAAGTACTTTTCTTGGAAGATTAAATGTACAAAGTGCTTTTTTAATGTATGTAAAAAAAGTATTAAAAAATATAAATTCGGAGTGCGAAAATAAAAGTATAAATTTAAAAACAACATTAATTTGCATGTAATATATATTTAATGTATTCTTATTTTTGTTATTTTTATTTATAAAGCGTAATGTTTGAAATATCTCTTTAAAGTTAATATATATTTAATTTAAAGAACATTTCTTTGAACATTTTTTTGAAAAGAATATTTTTTCCAATACAAAATATTGAAATTTCAGTCAAATCTTATAAATGTCAAAAAATTCTTTAAACGTGTCCTATCTCCAATATCTTGGATATAAGGCATACTTATTTTTTTGACCTTTAACCTTATACATATATACCATATATATGCACTAACATGTTTTTTATGATTATTTTAAAAATCCCAAGCAGTTTATTTTTAGAGGTCGATCATTTTACGTGAAATGCTCTGTATACATATATATATTTAAAAAATATATAAAAAGATTAAAGACGAGATATTGTCCAATATGATACATCTATCTAGAAAAAAACCGTGGAAAACAAAAAATCGGATATGATCATATCGCGTATTTTATTAAGTATTGCAAAAGAAAACAAAAATAATATATATATATTGATATTTATATTTTGATGACGTATGCATTTCTTATCGATACAAACTTTCAAAAAATACAAGTAAATAACAGATTCCTGATAAAAGTTATCAATCACATTTTTTTTTTTTTTTTCAAAACATCTGTTTCTATTAATAAATCTCATTGCTTTTAACAACAGATTTTTTTATTACCTCATTCGATGCCTCATTGTCCATTCTTAAGCAGAAAAGTGAATAAAATCACGAATAAGTTTCGTCGCATTTCGATCAGTACAAAGGACGGAGAATAGGTCGAGGAATTTATTAAGATTCATTGACGATCTCTTTCCTGTCTGGCGCACAAGGTTGCGGGATTCCAGGGGTACCCTCGGAGAAGGGGCAACGATAAACTGCGAGAGTCGAGCGTGTCGAGTTCGAGTTAACGTCATATTTCGCGACGCGGTGCACGCGCACCTTCACGTCAAAGGAAAGGTTTTTTTTTCGAGCCGCAACGCCGAAAATCATTTCGGGGATATGGAGACTTCGCCGATAATAAATATGTGAACAAGAGACGTCCGCGTGATCAGCTGTGCGCGTCGTGTAGAAAGAGAGAGAAAGACAGAGAGAGAAAGAGTGTGTCAGTGCGCGTTGTCCGGCGTTGTATTTTCCCCATCTCGACTTTTAACCTGCGCTTCTGGGAAGCGGACGGAGAAAAAGAAGGGTATCGAGAGCCAAGGAAAAGCCGCCGTATGCGAAAATGTCATTCGAAGGAAAGTACAACGCGAAGAGCCCAGGTGAGTGAATCGATGTGTATCGATATGCTAATTGCGCCGGTATACTTTAATTATTTTGACGTCGAACAATATCGTTTATCATAACTTTGAATATTAAACTCCGAAGCTGTCACACATTCGCGGTTTAGTCATTAGTTTGCAATATCCGAGGCTGAATATCTTATATCCTTCAATGTTTCTTGAAATAGATTTTTATAATACATTTGTGTTATTTCATGTCACGTAGTGTGCATACATATATAATGTTTAATGTCAGTGGAAGAACACTTTTATATATTAACATTTGCATAGCATGAAATAAAGTAAATGCATAAAAAGACATCTTAAATATTATAAAAATGAATGTATTATTGTTTCAGCGGTGAAAAGATTAATGAGAGAGGCGCAGGAATTGCATGAAGCTACTGAAGAGTATTACGCATCTCCTCTTGAGGACAATCTATTTGAATGGCACTTCACGGTGCAAGGACCACCATCCACAGACTTTGAAGGTGGTGTTTATCATGGGAGGATCTTACTACCACCAGAGTATCCTATGAAACCACCGAATATCATTTTGTTGACAGTAAGTAAATGTATCTAGAACTATATACTATATACGGTACATGGATTATGTCATCATGACAATGTTCTTTTGATTTAGCCAAATGGACGTTTTGAAACAAACAAGAAAATATGTCTGAGTATTTCTGGCCATCATCCTGAAACGTGGCAACCATCATGGAGTATTAGAACAGCATTGTTGGCTCTGATAGCTTTCATGCCTACACCAGGAAGCGGCACCATTGGAGCATTAGATTATAGCACTGAGGAACGACAAAAACTTGCTAAAAAGTATTGATATTATATATGATTAATGATTATAGCATCATGAAGTCATCAATAATTGATTGTTGCCATTCCAGATCATTGAACTGGCAATGTGATACATGTGGAAAAGTTGTAAATTTGTTGTCCAAGAACTCTGTTAAAAAACCTATTACCGAGGAAGAGCAAACCATGCTAAATACAATTGCCCTAAAGGTAAATAATTATGAAATTTTTAATATGGAAATAATATTCGACACACATATATACATTTAATTATTATGTAATTTAAAAAGTCGTGAACTCTTGATCATACTTTAACGCAAATACTTAAATAACGTTAATTTGTAAAAAATATTGTTGTAGGCCGATGATTCACCTACGTCAGATATATCTTTTACGGATAATACGGAAAGTTCGTCCGAAAGCGAAATACGGCACCGTAATGTGGAAACGATTTCGGCAGAAAATGTAGATCGTCAGCAACCTGATATTATTCTAAATCGCGTAGAGACAATGTCCTCTTCAAACGATTTATTTTGGAGTATTCTTATCGCCTCATTAGTATCCGCGATTATTTTGTTAATCTTACGACGATTATTTCTCGTTTAACTTTTTTTGTGAAACACAAAGATATGTCATAAAAATAAAGTAAATTTTATACATGTTTTATAGATTGTTAAGACAAAAACAATCAGATTCACGTATAATGCAAACTATCTGATTTTCATAAAAACATATATAATACACGACGAAAGTATGCATTAATATATATTAATACATATCTCTATATTTTGTGTTCTTGTAGAACTGCACTTACATTTATCTTATAAATCTTGAATATTATTGTTGATTTAGTATATACATATACTAGTCGCTTTTGTTTAATTGTAGTATTGAAAAAAAACCGTATGACATTATACACATACTATATTAAATGACAACTAATTCGCGATTTTAAATGCTATATATTAGTTGTCATTAATGATAAATTCTTTATTAATTTTATAGTAATTATTATCTTTTTGAATATATCTTTTTGTGCTGCCTATATATAAATAAAATATATAATTAAAATCAGTATATTATTTTTATTGGTAAATTATATTGTGCAATAGCCTAATATGATAATATTTTGTAATAAACATTTAAGCTATACAGAGATATATGTGTAATTCTATAGCTTTCGTACACTTTTCATATGTGTATAGCTACACTGTAATAAAATTTAATGTATAATATAATCTGTTAGAGGAAGAGGATTTAGAACAGGATATTGTCTAAATTGATTTTTTGTATGTACATAGAAATATAATAAAGTAATTATTTATTAAAGCATATATAAACATATTACTTCTTAACATTCATTACAGTCTATGTATAATAATATTTCTCAATTGCACGTCCTCCTTTACATACATTAAACATTTCTTTATATTTTGAATTGATATGATTTTTTTTAGTTTAGAGAATTTATTCCTAGCACTCAAATATTTGAAAAAAAGTATTTCTTAAATCTGTGTCACATTTAGGTCATGTATTATATGTTGCAATAAATAAAAATTATATATAATATATATATAATATATATATAGTAATGTGTGCATTAAAAATATATAAGTAACACAGTCATAAACTATAACAAACTTCACAATCTTTATTATCTATATTAAGGCATTCTACATTCATCGTTTAATTATTTTAGATAGTTTTACACGTGCTCTCCATACAATAAAATAATTCCTTATTGGAAATTGATTTTTTTGTACAATTGCTAATTTTTAATTATTTTATTTGTTGGTGTATGTATACTTTAAACTATATGTATCTTTTAAATTGATTCAATGCCATTTTACAATAGCTTGAAAATCACATAAAAAATATGCTATAATAGAATCTTTTGTATATATATTTGCATGTAATTTATATATATATATATAAGCAACTTATATTATTTTTATATGTATTATTTCATATCGAAACAAATCATTTAAAGTGCACAGATATATTTAAAAAATTGAAAACATTGTGGCACATTTTATTTGTAAATAATTTATTGTCATATGGAAGCTGTGTGTAAGTTAATAGCGAAAATAAAAACGTTAATGTTTTTAAAATTCATGCTAAACTGCAATTCCATTTAAGCAAATATTTTTACTTTTAAATTAGAAACAAAAATATATATTTTATATGCATATAAGAATCGTACACACTTTAAAAAGATTTTCTATTAGTTTGATTTTTTTGAGTTTGACATAATTTTTTTTCATGTTACAGATTACTATAAGGTACACTATGCACAACAATAGGTATCCTCTTTGTTAAATTTTTGTGCTCAATATATATATATATATATATATAAGTCCTAAGTTGTACAAAAAATACATATTTTTAAAACAATATAAATGCAGTTATATTGTTTCAAGAATAGTAATATCGAAATAATATCTATGTATTTTTTGAAAGTATAGGACATCTATTTTAACTTTATAATGAATTGTTATAATACAAAAATACAAACAATTTCGTTAATTATATAATTAAATTGTTTATCAGCTAGTATGAGTGTTAGTCCATTCACCAGTTTCTTTTAGAGCTCTATCTGTTAATCTTTCTATCTCAGTTAGAAGCTGCTCAGTCTCTATATCAACACATACCATATCTGGTTCTACTGGATCCCATTCTAAACTATTCGAGCTTGAAACTCTGGACCAAGGAGACGCTGTCAAGCTAGATGGCTGACTATTGTTAGCTGATGTTTGTGTTATAGAATTCTCTGTATTTTCATTCTCATTCATGATTGGTAGAGAAAATCCTGCCCAAATAGAATTTGTTTATGTATTGTAAAATTTAGAACAATGATATAATGATTTGATTACCTTCGTGTTCCCATTCAAGATCGAGTGACGATCCCGGAGTAGAAGAAACATAAGTTGGTTGTTTCATTAATGTTCTTACATCGAGAATTTGAAGTGATGCATCTAGTCCAGAGCTAAAAATAATTGTGTAGATTTTATGATATTTAATTTTATAAATGCACTTAGTCATTATTATTATTAAACCAATAATATAACATACCTCGTAGAAACATTTCTAGAACTCAATCTGGTATACTTATTACCACCTCGTGTCCATCCTCCCTCTTCCAATAATTCTAAAGTCAATGGAACCCTATGCTTTTTCTGTAATTCAAATATTTTATTGTAGAAATTAAAAAATTTGTTGCAAAGTAAGAGTGATAAATATATTTTCACAAAATTATTTCATAAATGTAATGAAAATATAGAATTCTCAAAATTTATAAAACTGATACTGATTTGTTGATTCTTATTATATTTATTGTACACTATTGCCAGTTCATGCAACTTTGGAATAACCCTTATATATTTTGTAATATTATCTTTATATATACTAACAATAAATGAAATATAAAATATATGCATTATGCATGTTTTTACCTTAAATCTTTTTAAAGAGAGAAATGATAACAGGCTATATCCAGTGAGCATGACAAATAAGTATAACATTAATATCATCAATTATAATTATAATTAAAATTGAAAAATAACTTTTATACCTTTTTGATTTTTTAGTTTGGTCTTTATGTTCTTCACCATCCATGAACTATAAGCATAAACGATAACATCAAAATTACTCATATTATAGTAAAAGAATATATATAGCATGAAAAAAAGAAATTCAATACGTACCTCAGCTTGTTCTTCTCCTTGAAAAGGCATTCTGGTATGTCTTTGATAAAATCTGTAACGTACAACAAACACTATAAGAAAATATATAATAAGAGAACAAAATATTGGTTTGATAAATATATACTTTTTAATAATATCTTCGACAAATTAATGAAGATGATTGAACTACTAGAGCAGAAAATTCGATATATTTCCTACAACTTTTCATTCAATATTAACTTCATTGAGAATTGTGTACCAACCCAACTATGTGAATCATACAACTACAGTACTGACAATGAGTCATCGACGCATCGTTTATTTAACTTGGGCATAGTTAAAAATTAAAATATAAAGATCTTTTCTCAGTATACTAAATTAAAAAACTGTGTTATCAATACATATTCTGGTAATCATATCGCTGTCAAATCTAGTCCAATTCTAACCTGTACGAGACGGAGTCTGTGATTTTCGCCAAGCAGTGGCCGAGACAGGCCCCCATGACCTGTCAACCTACGGCACCTCGCCGTCATCTAACTGATATGAGTGTCCGGATGCCACTGTTTAATTCCACGTTAATACGTGACAAGGAAATCAGACAGTTCCACCTTACAAGGCCCTACCGTACTTAGCTCTCGTCGCGACAACGCAAACTGTCAAACCCATACCTAACCTGACGATAAAATGAAAGAAATAATTAATATGTATATGTACAGCATATATATGTTTTTACTTTCAAATAATAAATAATAAAAATTTATATACAATACATTACGTTATATAATTAATATTTTGCGTAAATTAATTATAATTAATATAAACAGAATATCATAAATATACTACAATATACAAAACATTCTTAAGAATGTCATTATATATTATATAATATTTATACTATCAAAACATTTTTTTCATCATAATTATAATTATTTTATTATTAATTAATATACATATAAATAATTTTTTGTTTAAGAATAATTGCATTCCAGAATATATTCTAGATTCTAGATCATCACATCCCAGCGAGAAGTGATCCATCAAATATCGATGTCTATATCGATATTATATCGTATCGAAATAAATGCTTGAAATTTGATGCTTATTTCAAGTCTCTATAACATTTTTAAAGGAAAACTAGATAATACAAGCGCGCGCTTCACACGCGCCAAACAAATTATTAAATTATAACGCATAATAGAAATTCAAGAATACTTATGTACTGTAGATAGTAAAAATTCCGCAAATAAAAATTTAAAACATAATGGAAATTCAAGAATTAAAATTAGGTACACGATGAAAATTCAAGAATAAAATTATGTACATATAGAAATTCAGCGAATCAAAATTATTTACATAAAAGAAATACGACAAATTATCATTAAATACATAATAGAAATTGAACAAATTATAATTATTTAGATATAAGGAATACGGTGAATTAAAATTATGGACTTAATAGAAATTGAAAATTCAATGAATTAATATTATGTCCATAATAAAAATTTAACAATTAAAATTATGTACGTAATAAAAATTCGAAAATAAAAATTATGTACATAATATTAACTCGACAAATTAAAATTATGAACATAATAGAAATTCACAATTAAAATTGTGTACATAATAAATAATCGTTTCTAATTGTGGGAAGTGATTTTCGTTTCGCTTGTAGTTGTACGCTTTAAAAAATACGGTAATTTAAAGAAAACTCACAAAGTTAATTCTCTTCAAATTTCCAGATTTTCGAATTCTGCATTTTCCAATAATATATTTCTTGATTGGGAATGTTCTAAACAATAAGAATCGATTTCAAACACAACTGAACATGTGAATTTTAAAAATCTTGAAGTCTGACACTTTTTAAATTTTTCGTTTCGCAATCGACATTGATCTATCATCACATAAAGATTTTTATTCGCACTTGAAAATGTCGTGTCTTTATTATATTATTGTAAATATGACACCTGAATTTGAAAAAGTAATTTTTTAATACAGAAAGCGACAGCATTTCGACCGCAAGCTTCGTCAATGTAAAAATCGAAATTTAAAATTGTGACCAGACTTTAAAATACAGCAAATCCAAATACACATTATAATTTAATATCGTATATAGATGTGTGAAGTAAATTTCGTTTCGCTTGTAGTTGCACGCTTTAAAAAATACAACAGTTTAAACTACACAATCAAAAATGAATTTTTTCAAATTTCAAAATTATTAAATTCTGCTTTGTACATCGATGTAACATTCGCAAACGAATGTCCCGAACCACAAGAAACGATTCTAAACACGACTGAGCATGTATATTTGACATATCTTAAGCTTGTCACTTTTAAATTTTTCGCTTCAACATCGAAATCAATCTATCTTCGCTTAAAGACTTTGAACGCACATGAAAATGTGTTTTTACTATATATTTCTGTGAATCTGACAGCTCACTATAAGGAATTAATTTTTTTTATACCGAAAATGATAGTACATCGATCGCTCGCGTCGTCTATAAAAAATCAAAATTCAAGTTTTTCCCCAAATTAAAAATAACGCAAATCCAAATCAGTAGTCTTATTAAGAATCGTTTATAAATGTGTGAAATGAATTTCGTTTCGCTTTAATTGCACACTTTAAAAAATACAGCAGTTTAAACAAAACTGTATAAGATAAATTTTTTCAAATTTCAAGATTTTAAATTCTGCTTTGTACATCGATGTAACATTCGCAGGCGAATGTCCCGAACCACAAGAAACGATTCTAAACACGACTGAGTATGTATATTTGACATAACTTTAAGCTTGTCACTTTTTAAATTTTTCGCTTCAACATCGAAATCGATCTATCTTCGCTTAAAGACTTTGAACGCACTTGAAAATGTGTTTTTAATATATATTAATGTTAATCTGACAACTGACTATATAGAATTAATTTTTTTATACCCAAAATGATAGTACGTCGATCGCTCGCGTCGTCAGTGAAAAAATCAAAAGTTCAAGTTTTTCCCCAAAGTAAAAATAACGCAAATCCAAATCAGCAGTCTTATTAAGAATCGTTTATAGATGTGTGAACTGAATTTCGTTTCGCTTTAAATCGCACACTTTATAAAATACAGCAGTTTAAACAAAACTGTCAAAAATGAAATTTTTCAAATTGAAAATAACGCAAATCCAAATCAACAGTCTTATTAAGAATCGTTTATAGATATGTGAACTGAATTTCGTTTCGCTTTAAGTCGCACACTTTAAACAATACAGCAGTTTAAACAAAACTGTCAGTAATAAATTTTTTGAAATTGAAAATAACGCGAATCCAAATCAACAGTCTTATTAAGAATCGTTTATAGATATGTGAACTGAATTTCGTTTCGCTTTAAATCGCACACTTTAAAAAATACAGCAGTTTAAACAAAACTGACAAAAACAAATTTTTTCAAATTGAAAATAACGCAAATCTAAATCAGCAGTCTTATTAAGAATCGTTTATAGATGTGTGAACTGAATTTCGTTTCGCTTTAAATCGCACACTTTAAAAAATACAGCAGTTTAAACAAAACTGTCAAAAATAAATTTTTTCAAATTGAAAATAACGCAAATCTAAATCAGCAGTCTTATTAAGAATCGTTTATAGATGTGTGAACTGAAATTCGTTTCGCTTTAAATCGCACACTTTAAAAATACAGCAGTTTAAACAAAACTGTCAAAAATAAATTTTTCAAATTGAAAATAACGCAAATCCAAATCAGCAGTCTTATTAAGAATCGTTTATAGATGTGTGAACTGAATTTCGTTTCGCTTTAAATCGCACACTTTAAAAATACAGCAGTTTAAACAAAACTGTCAAAAATAAATTTTTTCAAATTGAAAATAACGCAAATCCAAATCAGCAGTCTTATTAAGAATCGTTTATAGATATGTGAACTGAATTTCGTTTCGCTTTAAGTCGCACACTTTAAAAATACAGCAGTTTAAACAAAACTGTCAAAAATAAATTTTTCAAATTGAAAATAACGCAAATCCAAATCAGCAGTCTTATTAAGAATCGTTTATAGATATGTGAACTGAATTTCGTTTCGCTTTAAGTCGCACACTTTAAAAAATACAGCAGTTTAAACAAAACTGTCAAAAATAAATTTTTCAAATTGAAAATAACGCAAATCCAAATCAGCAGTCTTATTAAGAATCGTTTATAGATATGTGAACTGAATTTCGTTTCGCTTTAAATCGCACACTTTAAAAATACAGCAGTTTAAACAAAACTGTCAAAAATAAATTTTTTCAAATTGAAAATAACGCAAATCCAAATCAGCAGTCTTATTAAGAATCGTTTATAGATGTGTGAACTGAATTTCGTTTCGCTTTAAATCGCACACTTTAAAAATACAGCAGTTTAAACAAAACTGTCAAAAATAAATTTTTTCAAATTGAAAATAACGCAAATCCAAATCAGCAGTCTTATTAAGAATCGTTTATAGATATGTGAACTGAATTTCGTTTCGCTTTAATCGCACACTTTAAAAATACAGCAGTTTAAACAAAACTGTCAAAAATAAATTTTTTCAAATTGAAAATAACGCAAATCTAAATCAGCAGTCTTATTAAGAATCGTTTATAGATATGTGAACTGAATTTCGTTTCGCTTTAAATCGCACACTTTAAAAATACAGCAGTTTAAACAAAACTGTCAAAATAAATTTTTTCAAATTGAAAATAACGCAAATCTAAATCAGCAGTCTTATTAAGAATCGTTTATAGATGTGTGAACTGAATTTCGTTTCGCTTTAAATCGCACACTTTAAAAATACAGCAGTTTAAACAAAACTGTCAAAAATAAATTTTTTCAAATTGAAAATAACGCAAATCTAAATCAGCAGTCTTATTAAGAATCGTTTATAGATGTGTGAACTGAATTTCGTTTCGCTTTAAATCGCACACTTTAAAAATACAGCAGTTTAAACAAAACTGTCAAAAATAAATTTTTTCAAATTGAAAATAACGCAAATCTAAATCAGCAGTCTTATTAAGAATCGTTTATAGATATGTGAACTGAATTTCGTTTCGCTTTAAATCGCACACTTTAAAAAATACAGCAGTTTAAACAAAACTGTCAAAAATAAATTTTTTCAAATTGAAAATAACGCAAATCTAAATCAGCAGTCTTATTAAGAATCGTTTATAGATATGTGAACTGAATTTCGTTTCGCTTTAAATCGCACACTTTAAAAAATACAGCAGTTTAAACAAAACTGTCAAAAATAAATTTTTTCAAATTGAAAATAACGCAAATCTAAATCAGCAGTCTTATTAAGAATCGTTTATAGATGTGAAACTGAATTTCGTTTCGCTTTAAATCGCACACTTTAAAAATACAGCAGTTTAAACAAAACTGTCAAAAATAAATTTTTTCAAATTGAAAATAACGCAAATCTAAATCAGCAGTCTTATTAAGAATCGTTTATAGATATGTGAACTGAATTTCGTTTCGCTTTAAGTCGCACACTTTAAAAATACAGCAGTTTAAACAAAACTGTCAAAAATAAATTTTTTCAAATTGAAAATAACGCAAATCTAAATCAGCAGTCTTATTAAGAATCGTTTATAGATGTGTGAACTGAATTTCGTTTCGCTTTAAGTCGCACACTTTAAAAAATACAGCAGTTTAAACAAAACTGTCAAAATAAATTTTTTCAAATTGAAAATAACGCAAATCTAAATCAGCA